TCCCAAAAGAATTTTCAGCTGAATTGACGAAATTAATCCAATCCCAAAAGAATTTTCAGCTGAATTTACAGAATGAATCTGACCTCATCCTGAAATTACGAATTTAAAGGCAATTTTTTTCAGGAATTAATTTCCAATTAAAGGCCCCAAGGCCGTTCCCCATCAGCTCCTGCTCCTGATTTTATTCCTGCTGATTTTATTGCACTGGATTATCTGGAATAGGAAATGGGATCAAGGAGTTCCACACTCACCTCACGTCCATCACAAATCCCATCCCTGCACAGGGAATATTTGGGATAGGAGGGAAATCCAAAATTTCCCACTTGGAATGGGCTGGGAAAAGGGGATGGAGGAAAATGAGGGAAAAGCAGAATTTTCTGTGCTGAAAGGGAAAACCAAGGACAGGCTGAACCTTCCCTGCTCCCGGGGAAAAGCCGAAATTTGGGAATATTTGTGTGGGAATATTTGTGTGGGAATATTTGGGTGGGATGCAGCCCAGCTCTCGGATTTAATAAAATGTCACTGATGAGGAGTTAATTAATTAAGCTGCAATTAACGGAGCTGCCAAAACCTCCCTCCCAAAACGCCGGAGCGAACATTCCTGGATAAATCCGAGGGCACAATCGCACCTGGAATTTTTTTATTATTTCGGGCCGTGGATCAATAATCCATCGAGTTTTGACATCAAAATTCGGAGTTGTGCTGCAGGAACGCCTCTGTTTTTAGGGAATTCCTCCACACCCCAAAACCTTCCCGGTTTTCCCTCATTGCAGCAGGAGCAGGGAAAGTTTTTTCCGGGATCAGCGACTTTTCCTTGGATTTCTCGCCCACTGGAGGGGGTTTGGTGGCGGGGCAGAGGGGACACGGTGACATCACAGCATCCCCTGGGGAAATTTTGCCAATCCCAAATCCCGGGGCTCGGAGCAGAGCCTGAACCTCGCCAGGGTCAAAGGGGAGCAGGATCAAACCCCCCCCCCCAAAAAAAAAAAAAAAATCCATAAAACTTCTTCAGCACAGCTCATCTGAAGCACTGCCACGTTTTAAATTTGGACAGAAAATCCTCCCCAAATCCAAACCCTCGGGTCTGTTCCCTCCACTCCCAAAATTCCCGTCTCCCCCACTCCCCGCACTAACGCTTGGAAAGATTATTCCCCCCAAAAAACCAGGGATTTGATTTAGCACAAGGAGCAGGAAAAACCCTTCAAACAGGGGCTTTAATCCTAGCTAAAAACCTTCCCTGCTCCCCGAGCTCGCCACTTGGGATAAAACAATGTTAATTCCAGAAAGAAAAAAAAAAAAAAAAAAGGAAAACTTCCATCCTGACGGGAAAGCAGCAGCAGCAGCTTTTAAAGGCAGCTTCCACACGGCTGTGATTAATCAGCTTGTCCACCTTGTCCAAATAGCCCATCGAGCAGTAATTAAAAATAATAAGCCAGAAATTATCAAATCACACACAATAACTGCAGAGCTCCTTCCCCTTTCGCTTTTGTTTATTGTTCAAACTTGTCAAGCCCCTCGCCCTGCTCCGAGCAGCCTCTCCGGGAAGGCAGAGCCCCTCGCAGCAGATGGATTTGCAGGATGAAAAATGTCCTAATTATGACCCTTTTTCATTCAATCCGTGACCCTCCTGAATTATCTCACCCTTGTTTCTGCCAATCAGCAGCAGGGCCAGGGGACAATTCTGTTGTCACCAGGTTTTGCTCCTCTCCAGGTACATTTTGTTCAGATTTTTGGCCCCAGCAGCTCCAGCTGAGATCAGGACAATCTCCTGCCTGCATTTGCTTGCATGTTCTGCAATAAATGTATTTACTGAATGAGATTCTTGGAGTTAAATTCCAGCATGCACCACCCTAGAGCTGAGATTACCCAGGGGAAATAATCCAGATTATCTCCTGTAGTATTTGCTGGAAGTTTACCTTTTTCACCGCAAATAACAACGCAAAATGCAGCGGCCCTCTCCTGGAATATTGGATATTTAGCAAAGCAAAGGAATACAACTCTGGGAAAAGCGTCCTCGGTGTTTCAGGAATAAAAATCCTCCAAATCCCCCTGGAGAAAAGCCCCGCTCTGCTCGCTTGTTCCTGCAGACAAAGGCTCTGGAACAGAGCACAGCCACTTACCTTTAAACTCACCCAAAGCAAAACTACTTCCCAAAAAAAAAAAAAAAAAAAAAAAAAAAAAAGTTTGCAAACAAAAACAAAACAAGGGAAAAAAAAAAACCCAACCCAAAATCATCACCAGAACCTAAAGAAAAACTAAAAACAACCAAGGAGAGTGGGGTTCCAGTGCGTTTATTCACAGCTCCTTCCCCGCTGCCTTGTCCTTTTATTTTATTTTATTTTTTAATTTTTTTTTTTCCTCCAATACTTTGAAATCCCCCCTCGTCAGGGTAACGACGACAATCGCGACAGGGCACGGAGGCGGCCGCTGCCCCGAGGATTGTCCGGCCGCACAAAGGCTGCGAATTAAAGCAGCGAATTAAAGCTGCAAATTAAAGCTGCAAATTAAAGCAGCTTCGAGAAAGCCCCGACTTTAACGCTCGAGTTGCAATGAAAAATTCTGGGCTCCGGGCTTTGGGAAGCGAGCAGAGCCCGGAGGTTTCTGCCCCCGAAAGGCGCCGGGGGAGCGCGGGGAGAAGGGAGCGAGGTGGGAAGGGAAGGGAAAGGGAAAGGGCAGCTCCCAGCAAATCCCTTTCTCCTGGAGCCTGAAAATCGGGATCTGCTTTATTGCCCACCTGGATGGGGATTGCAGTGACAGCCCCGATTTCGCTCTGACCCGCACGGGAAAGCCGCTGGCGGCTAAAAAATGTGTGATTCCTATAAACTCATAAAGATTTCTGGAAAGAGAAATGCCTGCAGTTATCCACAGATAACCCCGGGAGCTGCCGGGCTGTCGTTTCGAGGACGAGACTTGATCAACTCGGCAAAACTTTTATTTTTGTGCAGAGGGGGAGGGAAGGGGACGCTCCTTCCCCGGGCACAGCTCCAGGCCGGGGGATGCGGCACCGGGATCAGGAACCGGGATGAGGAACCGGGATGGGGAATTGGGATCAGGAACCGGGATGAGGATTTGGGATGGGGAATTGGGATCAGGAACCGGGATGAGGAACCGGGATGGGGAATTGGGATCAGGAACCGGGATGCGGGACCGGGATGGGGAACCGGGATGCGGGATCAGGAACCGAGATGGAGAACCGGGATAAGGGTCCCGCAGCCCGGTTCCCGGTTCGGTGCCGAAGCCACCGGGATGCGGAATAAGGATATAAAGAGGAATAAACGGGGAACGCGCGGATGTCGCAGCGCGGGGTGGGCGGAGGGACGCGCCGGACCCCCCGTCCAAAACAAAACAAAAAAAAAAGTTGAAAAAGGAGAAAAAGGAGAAAAATCCAAAGCGCAGCAGCGATTTCGGGCTCACTGGGCTCGGCCACCTCCAGCCCCCCCGAGGTCGCCCCCGCTCTGTCCCCACGGTCCGGGGATGGGGGGGGGGGGGGCTCAGGGGGCGCGCCCGGCCCCCCCCGCCCCCCGCCCCCCGCGCGCGCCGTTCCTGAGCCTCTGGCGCCCCCTCGGGACGGAGCCGCGCAGCGCCCGCGCGCTCCTCTCCGCGCGTCCCGCCCGCCTCCAGCGCAGCGCTCCGGGCTCATCCGCGGGGATTCCAGCACCGACCCGACCCCACCCACCCACCCACCCGCGGGGCACCGAGCCGTGCGGGCCGCGGCCGCTGGCGCTGTCCCCGCTGGCGCTGTCGCCGTCGCCGCCGCCTGTCCCGCCCCGCTCCGGGCCGTGCCCCCTCAGCGCGGCGCGGCGCCGCGAGGCCCCGCCCCCTTTCGCTCGGCTCGGCCAATAGGAGCGGTGCGGCCCCCGCGGGCCGAGCCCTGATTGGCTGCGGCGCGTCGGGCGCGCGGCCCCGCGCTGGGTATTTGTGCGCGCGGCGCGCGGCGGCCGCAGAGCCGCGCTGGAGACCGGCGGGGCCGCCGCGCCCGACACTGCCCCGGCCGCTCGCCCTGCTCCTCCTGCTCCTCCTGCTCCTTCTCCCGGCCTCGCCAAAGTTTTTTTTTTTGTGTGTGTTGTTTTTTTCTTTTCTCCCCTTTTTGCCTCGTTTCGGAGTTTTTTTTTTGGTTTTCTTGTATTTTTTGTAATTTTTTTTAGCGTTTCTGTGAGGAGGAGAAGTAATAAAAAGTTTTTCGCCGATTTCTCGCGGTTCTTCCCTCTCCTCTCCGCAGCCGGTGGAGACTCCGTTTCTCCGAGTTTTTACTCTTTTTAACCCGTCCCTGCCCCTTAGCGCCTAACTTTTTTAATTTTTGTTTTATTATTAATATTTTTTTCGCCCCCTTGCTCCCCCTCGGCCACTTTCTCGCATGAATCTCCTCGACCCTTTCATGAAAATGACAGAAGAACAGGACAAATGTATCTCCGACGCCCCCAGCCCCACCATGTCGGATGACTCCGCCGGGTCCCCCTGCCCCTCTGGATCCGGCTCGGACACGGAGAACACCAGACCCCAAGAGAACACCTTCCCCAAGGGGGACCCTGACCTGAAGAAGGAGAACGACGAGGACAAGTTCCCGGTGTGCATCCGGGAGGCGGTGAGCCAGGTGCTGAAGGGCTACGACTGGACCCTGGTGCCGATGCCGGTGCGGGTGAACGGCTCCAGCAAGAACAAACCGCACGTCAAGAGACCCATGAACGCCTTCATGGTGTGGGCGCAGGCGGCCCGCAGGAAGCTGGCGGACCAGTACCCGCATCTGCACAACGCCGAGCTCAGCAAGACCCTGGGCAAGCTCTGGAGGTGAGTGCGGGGCCGGGATGCCCGTGGCGAGCGGGGGATGCGGAGAGCGCCGCGCCGGCGGAGAGGATGTTGCGAGCTTGGAAAACGCGCTGGAAAACTTTTTTTTTTTTTTTTGCGGAGTGTAAAAGCGAGTTTGGGCGAAGGAGAAACCAGAATAGGAAGGGGGAAAGTTGGGAAAGTCGTTCGGTTTTTGGTGTTTGGAGGTGGTTTCTGTTCCCAAGGAGGGGGGACCGTGCGGGAGCCCCCCGGGCTGGCCCGGCCGTTGTTTGTTTGCGCTGCCGGTGCGGAGGAAATGATGGATTTTTGGGGATTGCATCAGCTCGGGCCGGGCCGGAGGGAGCGCGGGGCGATGCGGGGAGGGAGGGAGGGACGGTGGGAGGGTGGTGGCGGTGAGTGGCGCAGGGCCGGGTGGCCTCCGAGTGCCAGAATAAGGCGGGGAGGGGAGGAAAACACGAGGCGAGTGAGTCACCTGGGCCACCGCGTCCTTGGGGACTGCGCGAGGGGCAGGGGGGGGATCCCCAAACGGTGAAACGAGCGAGGAAAGCTGGGATGTCCCCAAAGCGCCCGGGGACAGCGGGATGTGCCCACAGGGTGGGGAGGGCGAGGGCTGGACCCCGCTGCCACTCCTGCGGCTCTGGTATGGCCACCGAAGGAATCGGGGGGGCGACAAGGGGGTGACAACCAGCGAGTGCCAGGGACAAGGAGGTGACAACCAGTGAGTGTCCCGGACAGAGGGGTTCAGGTTGTGGGGGGCTTTGGGAGGGATCCCAGGGCGGGATTGACGCTGGTGTCACCGCTCAGCGCCCACCCTGAGCCACAAGTGACCCCTGCCCTCCTCCCCGTGTCCCCCCAGGCTGCTGAACGAGAGCGAGAAGCGCCCGTTCGTGGAGGAAGCCGAGCGGCTGCGGGTGCAGCACAAGAAGGATCACCCCGACTACAAATACCAGCCCCGGCGGAGGAAGTCGGTGAAGAACGGGCAGGCGGAGCAGGAGGAGGGCGCGGAGCAGACCCACATCTCCCCCAACGCCATCTTCAAGGCGCTGCAGGCAGACTCGCCCCAGTCCTCCTCCAGCATCAGCGAGGTGCACTCGCCCGGGGAGCACTCGGGTAGGTACCCAGGGAGCCTCCGGGGGGCACGGCACAGCTGCACAAAGCGCAGCCCAGACCGGGCTCGGGTTGGGGTTGGGTGTGGGGGGGAAGGAAGGAGGCAGGAATGGAGTGAGAAAAGGGAGAAGTGCCCACGAGCTGTGCCCGTAGCCCGGGCACACAAATCCTCACCCCGATGTGCCACTGCAGGCACTTCCCCCCGTTTGCCTGTGAGAAACACGAACCCGTGCTTTTTAAAAACCCAAAAAACGCCCCAAAACCGTGGCCCCGCTACAGCTCAGGTCTGAGAGCGGTGCTGATGGGGCTGGGCTCTGTGTCCCTCACACGTGGACCTGTGTGTGACCCGTTCACAGCATTGTCACTCCTGTCACACCCCTCTCCTTCCTCCCCCCGGGCCAGAGAGCCAGGGCCCCTCCGTGCCCCCAAAAACCAGCCCAAAGCCATGGCTACAGCTCAGGTGTGAGTGTGGTGCCGACGGGGCTGGGCTCTGTGCGTGACCCGCAGACCGCGGGTGACCCGCTCACGGCATTGTCACCCCTGTCACACCCCTCTCCTTCCTCCCCCAGGCCAGTCCCAGGGGCCCCCCACGCCCCCCACCACCCCCAAGACGGACCCACAGCCGGGCAAGCAGGACCTGAAGCGGGAGGGCCGCGCTCTGGGCGAGGGTGGCCGGCAGCCGCCCCACATCGATTTCCGCGACGTGGACATCGGCGAGCTCAGCAGCGACGTCATCTCCAACATCGAGACCTTCGACGTCAACGAGTTCGACCAGTACCTGCCACCCAACGGCCACCCGGGCCAGCCGGGCCAGGTCACCTACACGGGCAGCTACGGCATCAGCGGCACGGCGGGGACACCGGCGAGCGCTGGCCACGTGTGGATGGCCAAGCAGCCGCCAGCGGCTCAGCCACAGCCGCAGCTGCCGGCGCTGGGCACGGAGCAGAACCCGCAGCAGCAGCAGCAGCAGCAAAGGACGCACATCAAGACAGAGCAGCTGAGCCCCAGCCACTACAGCGAGCAGCAGCAGCACTCCCCGCAGCAGCAGCAGCAGCAGCAGCAGCAGCTGAGCTACAGCTCCTTCAACCTGCAGCACTACAGCTCGTCCTACCCCAGCATCAGCCGCGCTCAGTACGAGTACGGAGAGCACCAGGGCTCCTCGGGCTCCTACTACAGCCACGCCGGGCAGGGCAGCGGGCTCTACTCCACCTTCAGCTACATGAGCCCCGCGCAGCGCCCCATGTACACCCCCATCGCCGACACGGCGGGCGTGCCCTCCATCCCCCAGACACACAGCCCGCAGCACTGGGAGCAACCCGTCTACACGCAGCTCACCCGGCCCTAAGAGAGAGAGCAGCCAGGCCAGGAGGAAAAGCGGCCCGTTAAATTAAAAAAAAAAAAAATTAAAAAAAATTAAAAAAAAAAAGTTCATAATAAGCGAGAAGAAGAAAAAAAAAATAAGAAGAAAAGGAAATTTTTAAAAAGCGCAAAAGCGGCAAGAACGAGTTGCCTCGGACTGGTTCGGTGTTTGAAATTGAAATGATAAAATTGATAATTCACAAAAGACGCTCACGTGGAAGCTGGCGGGGAGGAGAGAGCGCCTCGAGCCTTCTGCACTACAGCATCCTCCAGGACCCGCTCCCAGCCCCAACATTTGGGACAGACTTTGCCAAGGACTGGACTTGAACTCTGCTTCTTCCAGCGTGGAGAGGAGATTTCCACCCAACCCGCCCAGCTGGCTCCTTCTCTGGACTTTTGTAATGATTTTTTTTTTTTTTTTTTTAGCAGTAATTAAAAGAAAGACAAAAAAAAACATTAAAAAAGAAGAAAAAAAAATGGGGGGTAAAAGAGAAAACTCAGAGTCCTCTGTGAGGAATATTCTCTATTTTAAATATTTTTAGTATGTACTGTGTATGATTCGTTACCAATTTGAGGGGATTTATACCTATTTTTTAGAGATTTTTTTGGAAATGCTCTTATTTTTCCAACAGCTAAAAAAGAAATGACACTTAGTGGAGCAGCCCTAGGTTTTCTTGCAGAGGTATTTTTGTATAGAGAAGTGTCTTTTTTTTTTTTTTGCTCTAAAAATGAAACTAAACCAGCGTGCTCTGCCCTGGGAACCCAGCACTGGGGCAGGGAGCAGCATGGGAGAGGCTTTATTTTTCTAACTCGTAGCAAAACCAGCCAGCAGGAGAACTTCACTTTATTTTTTAATAACCTTGAGCCTTAAAAGAAAAACAAAAAGAGGAGAAAAAAAAAAAAAAAAACTCGATGGAGCAGCCCCAAAGTGCTGCTGAGAAGCCTTAAAGAGCCCCGTGATAATCCGTGGCCCCGGGCTGAGCCCGACCCCTCCGGGCCCAGCCCAAGGTGCCAAACCCAGCCAGGGGCTCCTCTCCGCCTGGGACACGGCACAGATCCTTTAAATTATTTATTTGGGGGAGAAGAGCAGCTCTTAAATCACCGTTTTCCTTGGGTTTTGTTGTTTCCATCTCCCCTCCAGGTCCTTTCAGAAGCGTTGTGTTAGTGGGAGCATTTATTTGGAAGGTGACCGTGCCTGTTAAATTATGGTCTGAAACTGTAACCAGTCCTTTATTTATCTCTTTAATTCCTTTTGGTTGTTGTTATTATTATTATTATTATTCTTTTTGGAATCTGTGTCCTGGGTTTGTACAAACTTTGTGCTCTTCCTTTTTTTTTTTTTTTTTTTTTTTTTTTTTTGGGTTTTTTTTTTTTTTTTTTTTTTTGCCTTCGAGGAGAAACTGGAAGAAAAAAAAAAAAAAAAAAAAAGAAAAATGAGATTTGTACAAACTAAAGATTGCAAATGTAGCGGATCACTGAATCATTTGCCTTGTTTCCTGCCTCAGCTCTCTGGGACACACGAGCTCGTGCAAGGACGAGCCCCACACCCGGCCCTGCTGCAGGGGTGGCACCGTTTTAGCCTTCAACCCCCCCCCCCAAAAAAAAAATGCCTGGGAGAGGTGGGGGGGGGGGACACTGATTTTGGTGAAGCTGTGGCTGAACAGTTAAGGATTGCTTTTTAAAAAAGACAGCAGACTTTTTTTATTTAAAAAAAAATGATATATTTGTTAACTTTTTTTTTTTTTAGGGATTCAGTAGGAGAAAAAAAAATCTTAAAGCACTCTTATAATATGGCATCTTTCTATTTCTGTATAAAAGCAGATCTTTTTAAAGTATTTCTGTAACTTAAAAGACCTGTCCTTTAAATCATATTTTGTCTTTAGGTAAGTTTGGTTTTGGTTGCAAGATCCTTCTCTTTGTGAAACTTACCTTTTTTTTTTTTTGTTCGTTTGTTTCGTTTTGGTTTGGTTTTTTTTTTTTTGTATATTATTGTTTGCAATAAATATACATTGTATCAAAAGTTCCACCTGCCCCAGGTGTGGGATTTATGATTGGGATTATTTTATCGGGATTTTTTAATCAGGATTTCTTTATCAGCCTCCAGGGGACACGGAATGCTGGATGGGTTTGGGGTGTCCCCCCTCCTTTATCCCAGAAAAAGCAGAGCCAGGGAATAAATGGGATTGGAGAGGGACAAATCCAGACTGGCCAGCTCAGGGTGTGACCCCCAAAGGGACACCTGAGCTCCAGTTGTCCCCAAATTTTGCTGGCTCTGCCCTCCCCTGGGGTCTCTGCTCGATTTTGGGGTTTGGGCTTTCAGGTGATCCTTTAAAAACTGCTGCAATCCTCCCAAAAACCCCAATTCTGCCGAGCAGGACCTGTGTCCTGCTCAGGATCAATGTCCCCCCCCAGCTCAGCCCAGCAGGGATTTTTCCAATCAAACCCATCCCAAACCAATCCCTGCTGGGGATCTGGAGCAGCTCAGGCCAGGCTTTGTCACCTCCCCCACTGCTGGGGTCACCACAGTCCCTGCAAGGCCACAGGTGGGAAAACTTCTGTAAAAACATCCCAAATTCCCCCCGGAGCTGCAGCTGGCACGGGGCTGTTTTGGGGAACCAGGAGGAAGCAGAGCCGGGGAATAAATGGGATTGGAGAGGGACAAACCCAGACTGGCCGGCTCAGGTGTGACCCCCACGGGGACACCTGAGCTCTGGCTGTCCCCAAATCCTGCTGCCTCTGCCCTCCCCTGGGGTCTCTGCTCTGCCCTGCCCCGTTCAGGGCTCACTTCCAGGAGTCAGGTGGAGATTTTATCCCCCTTGGAATCTTTTCCTGGCTGGAAAACCCTCTCTGATCCCATCCCGGCCACACCACAAGCCCTCCACAGCTCTGCCGAGTGTTTTACACTTCGGCCAGGAGCCCGCGGGGATTGATTAACTCTGAGCATTAATTGGGGTCAGTGTCGCTGTGCTGTGCCGTGTGGGAACGCTTTGATCCCAGACATTTCTCCTCCCTGCCCCACTCGGACTTTGCCCGCTGCAAGTTTTTGTCCTGGCTGCTTTTTGGGATAAAGGAACAAACACAGCTAACCCCGGGTTTTAGGGAGCTCAGTGAGGCCGCAGCACTGCGATTCCATAAAGCAGAAAATGTTTTTCCCAGTGCTCGTGTGGGTGGGATGAGCTGGAAAAAGCCCAAAATTAGGACAGACATTGCCTGACCCTGCAGGGCTCGGGGTCAGGAGGGACCTTTCTCATCCCACCCCAATGGAAGCGGGGCAGATCCCGCCGCGATTCCTGCTGGAATTCTGTCCCACCCCCAGCCCTGCTCAGCTCCCCTCTCTCCACCTTCCCAGCAGAAGCATCCCGGGGATTTCTTCCTCGCTAAAACCCCAAAAGAACAAAGCTCCTGCCGCCGCCGTTCCGTTCTCTATTCGCTTTTGGGTCCCAGCGGGCAAAGCCGAGCTGGGCACGGGGCAGCTCCGGGGCCAGCCCGGGAGGGGAGAACGCTGGAAATCCTCCCAGCTCCGGGCAGCCTGTGCTCGAAAGCAGAGCAGGAGGGGTGGGGAGAGAAATCACGGGCCAAGGGAACTCTGACAATGCTGCAGGGCAGGTTTGAGCGCCGCAGATAAGGGAGGGTGCGGGGACAGACAGAGGCGGCTGCAGGGCTGTGGGGTGGGGGGGACATCGGCAGAGCCCCCCCAGATTCCTGCAAAAATCCGGGATAAGGGTGGGCAGAGCGAGGCTGAGTCCTGGCTCCTCGCCCTTGCGCAGCGCCGGGAGGAGTTGGGTTTTTTCATCAGTTCTGGGGGGAAAAACGAGCGCTGATAAAAACAAATAAAAGAGGGAGAAAGTTTCCAGGCGCATCCCCGCTCCCTGGGACATCCCGGCTCTGCGGGATCGCTGTCAGCTGCTCCCTTTGGGGATAAAAATTCACTTCTTTTTTTTTTTTTTTTTTCAGCCAGCTGTTGGTGCTGACATCGCCTTGGAGCCGGGGCTGTGTCCCGGAGAGGAGGAGACGGCAGGAGCCGTGCCGGAATACCGGGATGTGGGGATGCCGGGATGGGATGCAGGGATTTGGGGATGGCAGGATGCCCGAATGGGATGCAGGGATAATGGGATGCAGGGATGTTGGGATGCAGGGATGCAGGATGCTGGGATGGAATGTGAGGATGCCGGAATGTTGGGATGTTGGGAT